GTGATCACGGAGGTGCTCACCTCAAAGTTGTTGGCTGGGACATGAGGGTGCTGAATGGGTGACCTCATGTCCGCAGCCCTAGCGGCCCAGTAGGATCCCATGGTCTGCTCCTCGGGGATCAGATCGTTGTTCTGCGGATCCCCCATCTCGCCTTCTTCTTCTTCTTCTCCTAACTGCAGCTGTGACAGTGCCTCCTCCGCAGCCAGTCGCGCCTTTAGAGCCCGCTTGAAGTTCCTACAAGTTCGTTCAAGCTCCTGGTCTAATGGTAGTAGATCTCCCGACTGGCTACGGGTCATGCACTACCTGCACACACTCAGAAGAAACAACCCGTGAAGGCACACAGGTGGAAGAAATAAAATGCAGTAAATAAAAGCTAGAGTAACAAATTATCACGTTTCTCCAATAACCTAGAGGGTCCCCGGCAACGGCGCCAAAAACTTGACACGCTAAAACACAACACCTAACAATGGCCAAGTGTAACCACTGAAAGGGACTGCAGTATAGGCAAGTTTAATTATCAACCCGGGGTCTAGATCTACTGCTTACTCCGTGATTCTCTATTATCTAGCAAACTAAGTCGAGTGAGTGTTGTTTAAAGCAAAAGCAGTAAGAAAGCAGGAAATGGTTCGGTTTTCAAAAGCAGGTAAGAGTCACTCGGGATTGAGTCCCCCTAGCCCCTTGGTTAGGTTCAATTGCAATTCCCTGGGTTGATTTACTGTTGATTAGACTGCGGAAGATCCGACAGTAGCTTGGAATCTCTTAAGCTGACCAAGCCCTCTCAGTCTAACTACCCGGCAGACGACTAGTCTTCACCGGGATAGAAAGCTGAAGCAATAAGCACAGACTCCACTACTGGCGTCAAGAACACCAGTACAAAGCAGTAAACTGGCTAACTCTCGTATAGCCAATCTCCTACTATCGAATGAAGAGGCTCTAACAACCTAATCAGATTCTATCTATCTCAGGTTGAAGCAGAAATTGAAACAAGTTGATCAGGCTCAAATCAATTCATGAAACATGCGTCATTCGATTAAAATCAAACAGTAATATCATCCCAAGTCATTACAATCAAATCCCTAACACAAGGAACTAGGGTTCTTCATACCCAAGTGAAAGAAGGGTTCTACTCCATAGAGAGAGAAGAGAAAACAAGAATCGGATTAGTCATACTCATAACGATGAGGATAATCTGCTCCGGGACGATGATGTTCACTCCTATGACGATCTCCAGGCTCGATTTGATGAAATCCAGCTCCAAGACGGCTTCTAGGATGAGTTCTTCGCACTTTCTCTCTCTAGGGCTCTGTTTTTGCTCTGAAAACACGATTCTCCCCCTTTTGGCTCGGATTAGGCATTAAAACCGGTCTCCCCGAGTTGCACGGGCAGGTGCACGGCCGTGCACCACCCCATTCTGGCCGTGCAACATCAAACGCACCGTTTTATTTATTAAGCTCAGCCTTCTTGCACGGCCAGGCGCACGGCCGTGCAAGCCTGGATTGTGCCCGTGCAAGCTCTCGTCGTGAGGCGCACGGCCAAATGGCACTAGTGCACGGCCGTGCAGCCCCCTGGTCTGGCCGTGCACTCCTCCAAAAGCTCGCCCTTCGTCCGTTCTTCATCCAATCGACCCCAGACTCGCTCCTAAGCCTTCATTCACGTACTAGGACCTGAAATAACACAACCAAGCACAACCTAGCGTGAAATCGGCCTAAAACACGAGAATCAACACCTCAAACGGTGTTAGTATGAGGGTAAAAACATGTGTAAATGACGGTCTATCAGTGATGTATATGATCACTTAGTATGTGTTGGATTTCTACCGAATTACACCCACTGGATTTTACATGGCGAGAGTTCATTTCATACTTCACCTGCAGAGGATACTATATGCCAAGATCATATAGATACAAATGCTAGTATGCATGACTTGTTGAATGATATGTTCATGGGTGTCCACCCAGAGGTAGCAGAAGAACCGAATGATGATGCTCTTAAATTTTTTAAGTTAGTAGAAGCAAATCAAACCGAACTTTATCCTGGGTGCACAAGTCATTCGAAACTTTCTTTTATCATCAAGTTATTTCACTTGAAATGTCTTGGAAATTGGTCCATCAAATCATTCAGCATGCTGTTAGAGTTATTGAAAGAAGTATTGCCAAAGGGAGAAACTTTACCTGAATCTTACTATGAGGTGCAGAAGCTCATATCAGATTTAGGCCTGAGCTATGAAGTTATCGAGGTTTGCCGTAATGATTGCATGTTGTTTTGGAAGGAGCATGAAAAGGAGTCGAAATGTCTTGTTTGTGGAGATGATAGATGGAAAAACAAACAGAGTGATGATGTCGGATCCTCAAAGAAGAAAACAAAAAACATTCCTTATAAGAAACTTTGGTACTTTCCTATAGGAAAGAGACTACAGAGGTTGTTTATGTCCTCAGAAAGCGCTTCTTTTATGCGTTGGCACAAAGAAGGTCGTACAAATTATGGAAATTTAAGGCATCCGGTGGATTCCCCTGCATGGAAAACTTTTGACTTTCTACATAAGGAATTTGCTTCTGATCCTCGCAATGTTAGATTGGGTTTAGCTGCTGATGGTTTTAATCCTTTCAGGTCAATGAATAATTCACACAGCACATGGCCAGTTGTATTAGTACCTTATAACTTGCCCCCTTGGTTATACATGAAGCAACCATACATGTTTCTATCATTACTCATTCCTGGACCTTCATCTCCAGGAAATGACATTGATATATATTTGCAGCCTTTGATAGAAGAGCTACAAAATTTGTGGAATGAGGGTATAGAAACTTATGATGCATCATTGAAGCAAAATTTTAGGATGAAAGCATCATTGTTGTGGACCATCAGTGATTTCCCAGGTTATGCAATGTTATCAGGTTGGAGCACCAAGGGCCATTTGGCATGTCCTTCTTGTCATAAGTACACTCACTCACAATGGTTGAAGCATTGTCATAAGTTCTGTTACTTGGGCCACCGAAGATTTTTGCAGGTTGGGCATGAGTTTCGAAGACATAAGAAAGCCTTTGACAATAATCAAGAGTTTAGGCTTGCCCCGCGACCTATGTCTGGATCAGAGGTCTTACTTGAGCTACAAGGTAAACAAGTTAAGTTTGGAAAGCTCAGTAATAGTGATCCCTTACCCCATGGCTGGAAGAAATGCAGTATATTCTTTAACCTACCATATTGGAAGGACAACGTGTTGAGACATAACTTGGATGTAATGCATATTGAAAAGAATGTTGAGACATTTCTTTTGTTGCCCCCACCAGCTACTGCCTACCATTTGCTGTGTAATGAAACCTTCTAATGCGTTGTAAAGTTTTTGCATTATTAGTAATAAAGTTTCACTTTTTCAGTCTTGCCAGTTCCTTTCTCATGTATATATGTTGGATCACTGTCAACATGTGCAGAGATGATTCCAGATGGGTTAGCTATGAACTCAAAACCAGCATATAAAATTGAAGTTTGCAACTCTAATAACAGTGTTGTGGATAGACTATTTAGTGGCATATATAAGGGAAGTTCTCCCCATTTTTGTTAGGGACGTGGGTTCAGTAATAGGAAGAGGATTTTATCTATTCATTTTTTTTTTTAGTTTAGCTGCAATATGAAAATTAAGGTTCCCAGCAAGTATGAATTTGGGATGTTTTGAATTATGCCTTTCAGTTGATTATGGATTGACCGTTATGTTAATTTGGTATAACCTTGTCGAATCAATTGTCAAATATACGGTTACGCTTAAACAACTAATATAAACTATATAGGCAACGATAATAAGTACAAAGTATTTAATGATTAACCGAGAACCATTTAGAAACAAAATACAACTTGGTAAACCTATGTGTGTTGATCGGTGTAGGACTGAAGTAAATACGAAAGTAAATTATTTAAGATCTCTTTCCTACTTTAATTGTAATAGTGACTAAGGTTCAATGAGAATAATTTCAAAGAAGAGTTTTAGAAGGAGCATAGTAGAAAGTTGAGTAATTGTGTACTTTCATACCGTACCGTACCGGCGGTTCAACTAGAAAAATCTCCTACCGGCGGATAAACCGATAGGCGATATTTAGTGGTATGAAACGGTTGAACCATGGTTACATCACGATTTTAGCATAAAATACCTTAACTCTGACTTTTCCGGTATAACTATCAATATAATATTTCAATACTTTGTTATAACTTACCAAACCAATTATCATCCTACCCAACACTACAAACGGGTACTAAAATTTTTCAAAAAAATTGCGCGACATACAATGGGTCCAACATTTTGTATAGTTAAATTTAATATCTAAAAAATTGAGCGGCTACCCGGCTGCCATCGAAAAAACAAAATAGAAAGAGAGCGGCAAAAGTGAGCGGTAAAATTTTTAGTAAACCTAAATAAATCCTAGCGCAGCCCTCCATAATCGATTCCTTCTATTTTAATCAGAATAGGGTTCCGACTTCCAAGCAAGAGTTTTATCGAAGGTGATTCCGTAGCGGCGGCAAAAATAGGTATCGTCTTTTTCATCAAAATCTATAACTGGTTTCTGATTCTGATCATATTATAATAGCAGGTAATGGTGCGTGCAAGATCCCAATCGGCTCAGAATTTGGTTTCCCATTCAAATTAGAATCATGAAAGCATAGTTCAAGGTAAGCTTACACGTAGTGATTATTTGGTCTCTTTAGATATATAGGCAGTTATATATATATCTTAGTTAGCTTCTTTGTACTGTTGGCCTCTTTCCCGTTAGGATTTTTTTTGGGAATTTTGATTGTGTTCAGTGTGTAGACTCTTAAGCGCTTCATCACATATGAAACGAAAAAGAGGTCCTACTAAGTGCAAAGATATTTGGGCTTTGTCGAGGGGTGAAAAATTTCATATCAGGGTCAATACTCAGGGACAACCCGTTGGTAAAAATGTTAAAAAGTTGACCACTTTTTTGGGTACTTTAGCGAGGAATGGAGCTTATGCTCCTCTTAGGTACGAGGATTGGAGGAAAATGCCAAACTATTACAAAACTGAAATGTGGGATTTGGTACAGGTATGTAACTTATACAACAAATATCTTTAATTTTATAAGTCTCTTCATCCTCATTTGCAGTTTAATTTATATGTAGGAAAAATTTGACATTGACCCATTCGTTGAACCTTGGATATCGAGTTCCTTAAGTAGCAAGTGGAGGAATTTTAAGTCTTCTGTGAAAAGGGATTGGTTTCAATGTAAAGAGCGGGACGAAAGGGTATCTGATGATGATTGGGCATGGCTATTACGATATTGGAGCACAGACAAAGCTTTGGTATGACTACCATACAATATTAGTTCATCTTGTCATTTCTATTTAGCTTACTTTCATGCTATAACCAATATGCAATTGTTTACTGTTATAGAAAAAGGAAGTGGTGGGCAAGGAAAATAGGGGCAGAGTGCTATCAGCACACACCTTGGGTTCCAAAAGCTATGCTTGCAAGAGAGACGAGATGGTAGTATGATAAATTTATACGTATAAATGATAATACATTATCGATTGTTAATTTATTTTTTCTTAACATTGTAGGCGGAATCTAGGCCGGACAAGTCTGAGCCGACTAGAGCCGAGGTTTATGTTGCTGCTCATGTGCGCCCGAATGGGACTCCATTGAATGACAAAGTTGCAAAGGTTATTGTAAGTATTAAATTACTTAATTCATATGGTTACTATAGATAGTTCAAGCATCATTGTAATTTTGCATAAAATCCCTTCCAAACTTCACCTTTTCCATCCAGGAAAGGATCAACGAAAAGAAAACTCAAATAGAGCCTTCTCATCATGATATTCCTGGACCGCATGACATACTATCACAAGCACTCGGAGAGGACAAATATCATCACTCGAGAACATTTGGATTAGGTTCAGGTTGGGGCGTGAAGAATTCTCGTGTGTCAATATTAAAGAAAGCATTAGAGGCTAAAAGAAATGCAGAAGAGAATGCGGAAAAGATGAAAGGAGAGCTGCAGGAGGTGAGAGCGGGACAAGGAAAAATCATGACCTTGCTGCATAAACTTCATCCAAATGTGAGCATTGATGAATTGTTAGACTCAACAACACAGGTACGTCTTTTTTTTTAATTTAGTAATTTGAAACATTATGGATTACATTTTTTTCATCAACATAATTGTATGGGTTTGAGTTGTAGGACCATGTAGTCATCGAGTCAGAAGGAAATGGAGATGAAATGAGTCCGACTGGATTTGAGGGAGAAGAGGTAAACTTAGGGAGGAGTCCACTGCTTCCTATGTTGCAAGATATAACTCCACGTAGAACTAATAGTCAATTAAATGAGGTAAGTTTGAATTTAGTTTTCAAATGAACAATCATTACTCTATAATTTCTAACTGGTTATCATGTATATTTTATTGACCAAATCAGGTTACACCAAATCAAATTCTTCAAACTTATCTGCCTCATTACAATGGCTTATCATCTGAAGTGAATTCTTCTGTTATAAAAAACACTTCCCAAAGGGTATGATTTTTTGTAATCCTTTTTTTTCATTACTAGTTTTTGTGGATGTTAAAGGAGGTAGATTCCTTTAACCTTTACGTTGTTGGGTGTTTGCTTTAGCTTTAATTACTTGTGGGGTTTGTTTTCTTTGTAATGTAAGTTATTTTATCTTCTCTAATATATTATGCAGGTACCAAACAAGACATTTTCATTTTTGGATTATATGCTGGATTCATCGCATGATGGTGGTTCCTCTAGCCAACAACAGGTGAATTATAGCTAGTTTACATATCTATATATAGCACTAAATGCCTATATTCGATGAAGAAAGATAATATTTCTTAATATACTTTTTCATCATTGATATAATAGGTCAACAAGGACTCATCTTCTCTTGTTAGAGTGCAAAGGTCTGAACAAATTTCTTCGACTACGACGACTGATCATATATCTCAAGTAAGAAAATTGGATATCAATGATGTTTGTTACAAGGTTATAGAAGTTGTTTTGACTGGAGTTAATATCTTAACATTTTGAAATTCAGGGATTAGAATTTGCAATATTGAAGAGCTTGCTAAGTCCTGAAGTTAATGTGGCTTATGCTAATATCGTAACTAAGGATCCAAAGGGTTGTGTAGCTGGCCAAGAATTGGGTCGTGGATTTTATGAAGTATTTGTTCACGTCGCCTTTAAGAGCGACGAGCCTTTAGTACGACCATATGGAAGTTTTCATACACTTGGGGATGTGGTTGGAAGGAGTATCGCTTGGCCATCATCTTTGGTAAGTTAGATATAATTGGTTATACATTTGGTTTGACATTTTTATGAAAAATAGATGGTTAATTTTTTTTTTTTGTAACAGATCACAGTGACGGATACTCAATCATTTTGAAGCTGCTCGATCATTATGAAGATGTTTGCTTGGATATTAGTTCTAATAAGACCATCTTGTTTTGAGTGTTAGTTTTTTTATATTGGAATTGATCCATTATTTTACTTTGTTTGAACGTATTGAGGTCAGCACACAATTTGCACATTTTGATGTTATGGATTTAATAGTATTTTTTAGTATTTTCTATATTTGTCTTTTATTATGGTTTTATCAATCTTCGTTTAATTTGATTTCATGGGTTGAAAATCCAATTGACAATAACAATTAATCAATTATTCCCCTCTACATATATATTCATTTGCAACAAAACAAATGGTCTAGAAAATGGTTTGAGCGACATATATAATTGTTGTACAAGATCCATTTCGAAAACAAAAATATTTGCAACTATAAACAATATTATAGACATAAACATAAGTCTCCTAAAGAGTATTTAGATGCTTATATATCTGTCTCAAAAAACTTAATTTCGAGGCAAAATGATATGTCTCTAAAATGAACATCAGAGACAGATAAAAACGTCTTCAAATTTATATTTGAAGACAAGTATAATCGTCTCAATAAGTAATTTCAGAAACCAAAATATTTGTCTCTAAATATCATTTTAGAGACTAATATTTGTGCCTTGAAAACTAGAAATCGAGGCAAATAAAATAGTGCCAAAAAGACATATTAAAGACTGAAATATTAGTTGCAATACCTCTAATCAGTAACAATTAATATTTGTCTCCATATCTGCTTCCATATGGCTATAGTGACAGCGCTACAGGAGACAAATGAATAATTTGTATCTACAATAATGCAGAGACAATTAACTACTATATAGAGACACATTTTCTTTGTATCTATAGACGAGTTTTCCTGTAGTGTATCCTTCTCTAGAACAACTGATCAAGGCGTTCTGAACTAGATTCCCTCTATCGAATGAGGTTCTCAATCGATACAAAGCAGTGAATCAACCCTCGACTAAAGCAATCGATCCACTACTATCAATCTATGGTGCTCTATTGACCTAATCAGGTATTCGCTCTCATAGGATCAAAGCAGAATCAATAATCTCGACTAAAGCAGAATTGAATCATGAAAACATGCATAGATTGAATATGAACTCAAGATTATCAAGTAAGAGTACTCATACAATCATCCAATCAAACAAACATAGCTAGGGTTCCTCAAAACCTAAGTGAAGGGAAGTTACTCCATAGAGAAGAGAGAGACTGCAGTAAGAATCTTATGATGATCAGTCTTCAAGTCCGGGCTTGTTCCTTGAGCTTCCAATGTGAAGAAATCCTCCAATTCCACTCCAAGAATGCCCTCAAATCGCCCCCTCTCTCTTTGGTTCGTCCCTTGGGTGTTTGGGATCCAAAACCCAGCTCTCCCTCTCCTTTGGCTCGAATTTGGGTTAAAAAACCCGATTCTGGGCAAAACACGGTCGCGGGCACGGCCGTGCTTTGGTTTTGCCCGCCCGTGTTTTGCCCCCGTGTTAAAAACACGCTCGGTCGCGTCGGTCAAAACACGGTCATGCCTAAATATGGGCACGGCCGTGTTTTGATTTAGGCGCGCCCGTGTTTTTACTGCCGAACCTGTTCCCCTATATTCAATGCTTCGTTTCTCCCTAGTCCGGACTCCGAATCAGTCGCCGTTTGATCCCAGACGCTCGTAGTCTCGTCCTCTTTCTTTTCATGACAAGCTTGCATGATTCTTTGTCCATTAAGTGGGGTAGAAATCCATTCTTCTTCAGGTCATGCCCGAGTTTCTTCTCCCGAATTGTCAATCGATCTCTGATTGACTTGAACTTTGCGCCTATGCTTCACTTTATGTGCTAGGACCTGAAATGTGACAAAGGAACACAACCTAGCATAAAATAGGCCAAAGACACGGTAATTCAAGCTCAAACAATCAAGAAACAAAGGGGAAACCATGTGCAAATACCGAGTCATCAAGACTCTCAAAAACAAAAGATCATGGACTCACATTTTTCAAGGTGCTCGATTTTCTTCTTGGAGATGGTTGGAACCCCTTTTCTTTCTTCTTTTTGCTTGTTTTTCTGTTTTTCTCTTTTTTTTTTTGCAAGGGTTCCAACCTGTTTTTGCAGAAAACGAGGGCTCCCACCTAGCAAAGGTTTTGCGGGAGCCCGACTCTTACCGGCCATGCCAGGAGCAGTTGTCTCGAGTCTCGTGCGGGGGAAAGACATGTAAGGGGGCTGGAGGTAGTAGGTGGAAATTGGGAACGGATTCCCGTCTCCCCTTACACACTTTCTCCCTATTCGCACGGGAGACGTCATTTTAAAGCACATTTTCGAGCACCTGTTATTTCCAAAACATGATACAAGAGTCCATGACAGGCAGAGAGTCCACAACACCACACATTTCAAGGGTCCTAAGATCACTAATTCACTCAATCAACCAACACAATATGAAGAAGAAATGAGACTTCTTAAATGCATCAACATCCTCCATAGTGCTACACTACCTCCCTAGGTTGCAAATCACTACAGAGACTGTCAATTCAAAGCATACTGAGCAGGCAATTGCAAGGAACACGTACTTGGAGCCCTCAAATTTAAAAATTTGGACAGTGGACTAGGCTCCAAGCGCACAAACAGATCCATCAAAAAACTTACCCGCATACGTAATCGAACATCGAACTCCCCCACACTTAAGCACGACATTGTCCTCAATGGAGGAAAGATAAGGAGGGTAGAACGAAGTTACCAGATCAAGGGTGAATGGCGGTGGGCGAGGCAAGCGGTGCATTCCGTGAGGAGAGAGTAGTCGAAACACAAACACCACACAAAATCTCACAAAGGTTGAGTTATGGACTCTAAAATCAAAGAACAAAACTGAATCAACCGAAGAGAAATAGGGAAAGAAATGCAAACCGACTGGTTGGGTTGCCTCCCAACAAGCGCTTCTTTCACGTCGTGAGCCGGACGACGGCTCCTAAGTTTCGGTCCACCCCAAAATCTCCTTGAAGTTGAGGTTCTCGTCAATGAGGTGGAGTCTCAAGTCACGAGCATGTGGTATGTCAGGTGATGGAAGCTCGTGCACTTGATGCAGATGAAGTCTCCACCCTCGAGACCTCTTCTTCTCTTCTCTCGTCTCATTGGCCCAAACCAGATATGACAGCATCGATTGGCCACCATTGCGTCCACCAAGGGGAACCGATGTCGATGTGGCCTTGGTCTGGCAAAGAGACACTGCAAATGGGTCCTTGCTAAGCAGTTCCTCGAAGTTTGGTGGAGATATCAAATGGAACTCATGGCCGGTGCAAGCCTCTTCCACCTCAACTTCGTCCTCAGCCTGGACGCCAATTGCTTCTTCAACCTCCCTTCCTTGTTCATGTGGTATCACCCCTGGAAAATGATCAAGAACTCCTCCTGCTTCACTTTCGTCATCCTCCACAACTTCTTTCTGCACCCTTTCTTGCTCTTCTTCTTCTAGCACGGATTGGAGAGCAAGTTGCCAAGAAATTTCTTTCATGAGATCTTCTTGCATCTCCTCACTCATGCCCGTCTCTTAAAAGCTCAGTTTGGGATGTGGGAAGGTGTGGTCGGCCACAACAGGACATTCCTGATCATGATCATCATGGGAGCTCTCCGTGACAACTTCAGTGTGCTCCACAATGTCCTTGTAGCCTTCTTCTTCCTCCTCCTCTTCTAGTATGGTAGCAGACGGGTGATCTTGAGCAAGTTGTGCACAAACTTGCTCAACCCGCTCTGGTTGCTTTGATGAGTGCGAAACGTTCTCCTCCGATTAACGGAGGGATGAAGAATTAGGAGGAGCAAAGGATGAGAAAAGGAGGTCCATCTTGCGATTGCGTCTCTCGGAGTCCCGAACAAACTGCTCCAGGAGAAGCCTCAGTTCATAGTTTGGATCTGGCTGTGGAGTGTAGCATGGCTCTGCAGAATGGCCCGTGAAGGCCGCCATGGGTAACTCCAGCGCCGATGGCCCTTCTGGTTGTGGGAGAAAGTCTTCTTGGTAATGAGATTGTTCTTGATATGCCCAGGGATCAGATTGTTCTCCGTAGTAAGGGGGTTGGTACTGGAACCCGAATCCATAGTCTTCTCCTCCTTGATTGCTCCAGGGTGTCTCGGGGTAATACCACTCGGATGGTGGTGGATACCCCC